AAGCTTAACTTATTGTTAGAAAACATAAATATAAACAGATAAATTGTTCTTAATAAAATGTTCAAAATATTATTTTTGTTATTTATTATGTACAGAGTGAGGTGCACTGTAATCTGTTCTATGATAAATTATTATTTTTTCTTTTTCTTGTCCGGTGGTAAAACATGATAAATCATTATTGTTATTACTATTATTATTACTATTATCATTATTATTATTACTATTATTATTATTGCTATTATCATTATTATTATTACTATTATTATTATTATTATTACTATTATTATTATTTTGTATTCTGCGGTTTAGCCCAAGTCGCTCCACCATTAATTCGGTCGCACGAATTTCTCGGCTCTCCGCGTTCTTTCGACCGCTTCCGCGTCGTCCCGAAGGATAAACCGTTCAACGTGCAATGGCCGAACAGAAGCCGCAGAGACTCTTGTTACCCACGCTCGACCGTAGAAACGGTCTCTCGTCCAGGTAATCGCTTAGAAACTCGTAGATAAATCCACGGCTTCGGCCACCTTCGCATCCGAAGGGACACAATGCCGGCTTTGTAAACGAACGCACGCGCGGGCGTAATTTCCTCGAGTCGAGTTTCCTCGAGACAAGTCGCCTTGCGAAGAGAGAGAGAGAGAGAACAGCAACTTTTGTAATTGATTTCGTGGATCCTCGCGGGAGAAGATGCTGGCCACGGACGAGCTGCGAACAATTGCCCCCCCCCCCCTTCCCCCGAAGTTGTTCCTTTTGTCAGCGGTGAACGGATCTCGATTGCATTCTACGATAAGTTCTCCCTGATTGTCCTTCGGTGTGTACGCGAAAAAGGACAGTTTGGGAGAAGGAGACGCGATTGTACTACAAAATGCATTTTTTAAATTTTTGTTACAGACTCCGATGTGAAAAAAGGCGAGGGAACGAGAGTTAATCACTTCCTTTCGTTATTCTGAGTGATAGCAAAATTAAAGAGAAGCATTTTAATTGTCTAATTTAATATTATCTCGTTTTAATTAGGCTTCTAAAACAATTATTGTGTTTTAAGAGATGTCTGATTTATTAATCAGAGTCACTGTACAGGTTATCCCAAAATTATGGCACTTCCGGGAGATGAGAGATTCCTGAGGTCATTTGAAGCAACTTTTTCCTTTACAGAAATTTTCTCCGAGGCACCGTTAACGAGTTATTAACGAAAAAAGGCTGACCAATGAGTGGCGAGCTCGGCTGACGCTAGGCGGGCGCTAGGCGGCCCAGCCAACGAGCGCACGCGGCCCTGCTACGCTCATTGGCTCGACGGTCTCGCGTCAGCCGCGCTCCCCTCTCGTTGGTCAACGTTTTTCCTTAATAACTCGTAAACGCTGCCACGTAGAAAATTTTTGTAAAGGA